ATATTTTATTTATATGTATTTTTCATGCAACAGAGGATTTTATTTATTTGAAAACAAATTATTTTAAATTATTTATTTAAATTATTAAGCCCAAAGTCCAGTGATTATATAATAAAAATAATATATGCATTAATAAAAGATAAATTGAATTTGAAATATATTTCTATATATTGATTGAATTAAATTGAAATAATTATAATTTAATTAAATGGAAACAATATTTAATCAATTATTAGCCAAGTCGTTTTAATGAAAAGTCCATTGTTTTGAATATTAAAATTAAGCATTAACCTCCTTAGCCCCATCGAATTGTTTCTTAGCCAAACCACATGACCAAACATTGCCAAGTTGAAGCCAGGTCCAAGCTGGAAGTTGACCAATGAAGCATGCAACTGTACACAAGTCGTGGACAGGAGAAGCACATATAACCACTATGCATACATCCACACACACACACACACACACACTGAGAGACACTTATACTATATCGCTAGTAGCTCGAGTGCGTCTGTGTGTGTGCGCACAATTTAGCCATTGGGCTGGCTCTGGTCTCTTTGGTGCGTAAAGCACACTACAATAATATCAAAGCGAAAGTGCGTAAACAATGCAAACAACATGAAAACGACTCGACTCGACTCGACTCGACTCGGTTTGACTCTGGACAAGGATGTGGATGCTTTGCAGTGCTTTGCTTTGCTCAGCTCTTGTGCTGCTGCTGCAAAACACGGATGCAATGCCAACAACAACAATAACAACATCAACAGACAGACGCACAGACAACAGCAATAACAACAACAACAACAACAACCATATGGACTAGTTAGTGCAAACTACATTGATGACGAATAACATGCTTCAATACCTACCAAATTTAATCCTGCCAATGCTCAAACACACACACACGCACACACATGTAAACATCGACTTGACCAATGCGTGTGAGTGTGTATGTGTGTGTGCTTTGGCTGGGAAACCAAACTAGCGTTGACCTCATCAAAAGGATTTGCCAGCGTCTTTTTGGTCTTTTTGTTTGCCAAGCCTCGGACGGCCTTTGACTTTGTTCCGTGTAGTATATAGCTGTGTGTACGGGTGTGTGTGTGTGTGGGGGTACACATGCCTGTGTGTGTGTAGGGCAGGCGCAAGCGGTTTGGAAATTGTGCAAATGAACTTTAGGCCTTTGGCTTATTTTGTTTGCATTTCGGTTTTAGTTTTGCAAAGAGCACTTCATGTGCTCGCTTGCTCTCTATCAATGGTATTCTCTCTGTCTCTCTCTGTCTCTCTCTCTATCTCTCTCTTTCTTTGCAGTTGGTTGTGTTTGCGCCTAAAAACATGGTTTATTTTATTTTTGACAATATAATTTTGTGACTTTACAGACAGTGTTGAAAATCTAATGAAAATAGCCAGGCGCTGTCACGCCCCCTTACTACTGCCTGCCAAACTCTAGGATACACACACACATCTATCGAGTATATTGAGTTTTCTGCTTGCACTCTGTGTGCTCCGCATGTTGTTTGCTTTTGTATTTTGCTTGTTATTGCAAATTGTTTTTTGTTTTCATCTGTCACAGTTTTACAATTCCTTGCGAATCWCTGAACCCCCTTTGCCTAGCTATCGCTTTTGATTTTGACCCCTATTGTGACACAGCATTCACTTATCGTATTGGTTTACGAAATTGGTTAAGCTCTGCTGACGCAATTGTTTAAATTGACTTTTGAAATGTTAGACGATAATGTTTGCCAGAAATAGTGATAGCAACAAGGGGAGAGAAATAGATACATAGTGATAGAGAGAGAGAGAGAGAAAGGGTTGAAATGAATCCTCTTAAATTCAACTTATCAGGTTTAGTCCTATGTACCTCTGTTGATAAAATTTGTTTAGTAGCGAGGTTGAAATCTTAAATTATATGTATATCATGTTTAGAAATAAGATGAGAACCATAGATGTGGAAGAATACATAGTAGAGGGACAAGCAAATGATGAAAAAACAAGTAAGAAGGCTCTAGTCGATACTGCTCGACTAGAAGATACCCTGAACCCTCTAAGCTGATATTCCAATCATTCTGTATTATGTATTCATTCTTTTATGCACACATGCATACACACGCACGTATAATCACACCCTCTGCTGACCGCGCAGTTAGCCGCGTCTGCGCTTCGACTGCGCTGCAGTGTGGGCAATATTATGAGAATAATTTCATTTGTAGACATACAATCTTAACGAAACTTTCAGAGCGTAATCATATGGTCTCTAGTACAAATTTGGGGCGAAAGGGGTATCCCCCTTTTGGTATCCAAAAATCTGTAAATTACAAAATCTTCGTATCGATCAACTGAATCTAGGTCTAAAAGTGTTCAAATTAGGCTGAAAAAAACCAAATCAATTGTTCGATTATTCTCGATAAAAAAGTTATAGGATGAGTTATCGAAAAATATGATAAACTTGTACTGCGTATGGTACACACGAGTATGCATGCCAAATTTCAGCTCTCTAGCTCTTATAACTTCTGAGATCGACGCACTCATACTGACGGACGGACAAAGGGGCAGGGCTATATCGACTCAGCTCGTCGTGCTGACCAAGAATATATATACTTTGTGGGGTCTGCGATGATTCCTTTTGCCCGTTACATACTTTTTCACAAAACCTGATTTCCCCTTTTCAATGGGTTCAGGGTATAAAAAAAATAGTTGAAGATATCTTCTAAGATTAAACAAGAGACGAGAAGAGCTGCATCATCCAAGAGGCACGAGAAAGACAAGATTAGTCTGACCTATATTTTCTAATTCATAAGAGTGAGAGAGAGAGAGAGAGAGAGAGAGAGAGAGAGAGAGAGAGAGAGAACCAAAGTTTACTTTAAATTTAATTTAGAAAAAAAGAGAATTAAATTATACAAGCTATTTCAAATGTTGGATAATGAAAATAATAATAACTAATAAATAATTTGTCATTTAATTAGGTAACTGCTGAAGGAATCAAAATGTAATAAATTATGCATAGGGTACGCAGATTGAACATTGATTCGATACAATTTATATACCCTAAAATTGAATTGAGCTTTGATTGAATTCAAAATTTTGGACTAGACAAGGCTTTGAAGAGGCCTTTATCCAAAAGCGGATTCCCCTATGTACTTCTAAATGGAGAAACGAAAATCTGAACATGTTCATTCAATCTTAAGATATTTCAGCGACAGGACGAGTCCTTTGTCAAAAGGTTTAAAAGTTCATTCGGCATTTCAATGGATAGCTGAAGGGTTGGCGGACTTAACTATCAATGCCGATTCTCCGCTATATTCCGAATGGATATTGACCCAAAATAAAGCTTAGCAAGTCACTATTTGAATTATTTTTATTACGTTTTAAATGTTAATTAGTATTGCCTTTCTTTTGATATGGCTGGCTAAATTCTAAAATAAACTGGTAATCAAAACTATTCACTATTCAATACATGCACGTATATGATTATATATATACACATGTATATATATAAATATATAAGTATGTATATGCATTTGTGTGTATATGCATATCCTTGCATATGGCATGGCTGAGCCTGGTCAAGCGACCCACTAAGCTGACCCGGTGCTCGGACTTTTATGACTCTATGCCAGAGACAGGCGCTGCCAGCGGGCTGGGAGTGTGNAAAATAATATACTTATATATATCACATTTATATATAAGCACTTGATGAAAATTCACTTTTGATATTTGAGCTCATTTTGAGTGTTTTTGAGATGCCGCCAGGGCATAGGATTTACATACATTGCAGAAACGCTACCACGCAGCGAATCCATGCCCTGATTCATGGGCACCGGCTTCGGTTTGCCATAGACATTGCTCATCCACTTCTGCCAGGCCAACTCGGCCAGCTGCTTGCGTCGCTGCTCCTCGCGCTTCTTCTTCAGCTGATGACGCTGCATCTCCAAGCGCTGACGCTTCTGCTGCTCCTGCTTCTTGTGCCACCAGCTCTGGACCACTTGCCGGATCTCAGCCTGCGGTACATTGCGCACAGTCTTGTTCCGGCTGGCCATCGAGCTGGCTGCCTGCAGCGCCGCCTGTTGCAAGTGCTCGTCCATGCGTCGCTGCTCCGCCTGCTGCGACTTGTTGCGCAGCCACTGCTCGTAACAGAGCTTGGACAGTCGCTTGCGCAGCTCGTGCTTTTGCTTTTCACTCTCACGCTCCTCCTTCTGGCGCTGCAGCTGCTGTTGACGCAGCCTCTGCTTCGAGGCATACCACGTCTCGTAGGCCACTTGCGGCTCGCGATTTAGTTTCAAGCCCTCCAGCTCACGCATATAGTCGAGGGTGCTGTCCTTCGATGTGAGGCCCAGTGATGGGACGCGATTGCTTTGGGACTCGATGTGCTTCAGCGAGCCGTACATATCCTGGAAGCTATAGAGTGAATTGGCCTTGCTATGGGTATATGTGAGGCCCTCGGCGGGCGGTAGCGAGAGCGGTGCTGATGACGATGATGACGATCCTCCCTGCTCTTTGTATAGTAAACTCGAGTGGCACTGCATTCGGGAGAGCTCCCATTGACCATCCGATTGATCCGAATGCTCCGAATGCCCGCCAAGAGATCGCTCGGAGGGCGTTGAAATGCTGCTAATACGAGTGCGTCCCGAATAAATTTCATCGTTCAAAACCATCTCCCCATCGGAGTCAATGTGTCCGCTAAATGCCATTGGTGTTTTTCTAGTCGTCCTTGTATTCTTGTATGTGTAACTGCAATTGCAAGAGAGTTATTGCATTTAGAATACAACAAATTTGATTTTTTATTTATTTATTGCTTTTTTTTTTACTACCTATCTGACATGCCTTTCGATGTAATTATATATATATATGAATAGAGATTTGAGCGATCGCTCTAAGGTATATAAAATATTTACTATATATCCTATATCAAGTAGACATTTATAATAATTTTAAACATAAAGAAAAGTCAGCTAGGGTGGCTAGAGTGGCCTAATCCATTAGACTTGTTAGTCGAATAGAAAACGAAATTGAAGTTTAATTTTGAGGGATTATAGATTATAGTATATAATTATAGTATACAATTGAGAGCAGAATAGTAACAGTAAGTAATACGTTATTGAATAGTAATATACATATAGTAAATAGTTATTTTGTGCAATGACAGTTAAAGCTTAAGTAGCAGTATCCTATAATAAAGGTATCAGAGTTATAATAAAACCCGAAATTCTATAAAATATATATATGAATCCACAAAGATATAGTTAAGGCAGCTGCATGACAAAAGCTGAATGCTACGAGACTCGAGTGCTTAATAAAACTTTTGGAAATATTGATCATAATTTACAAGTTCAGAAAAAAAGCATAGTCCATGAATGCCTCTCAAACTCTAGGCCAACTCTTCTAGTGTATGTGACAAAAACAAAACTTAAGGCTTGAGTTAGGGCAGCTGTATGGCAAAAGCTAAATTCTACATGACTCGATGTAAGGTTCATCAATGCCAAAGACTGAATAATATGAATTCAGTGTTCATGAAATAGAAAACATATTCATGATTCACAGAAATATAAATGCTCTTAGTTTAGATCTTCTAGCGAATTGATGGCAGAAGCTTAATGCTCTGAGACTGCATGACAGTAGCTGAATGATATGACACACGAGAGGGTGGATGTAGAGGTGGAGGTAAATCATACAATCTACGTTTAAAATTTGGCGACTCAAGCTCCAAAGATGTAGCAGATATAATTTCGACGCTTTCAAACATACCATCAGAAAGACGGAAGGACGGACTAACGGACGGATTGACGGACGAACAGACAGACAGACAGACAGGCGGACAGGGCTAAATCTCTACTCAGCCTGTCGCCCTGATCAAGAATATATATACTTTATGGAGTCTGCCACGCCCATTTCTGTCTGTTACATACATTTCAACAAAACCATTATACCCTGAAATAGTATGAGTATTACCATTGTGTTATTCAAGTTCCTTAAATAGTAGTAGAAATAGTATAAGTAATACCATTCTCTCTACTCTATTGTTTGTTGATATTATGTCTGTTCAAAAGCAGTAAAAGTAGTATTAGATTTAGGGATTTAATCCTTATTTTGTAGAAAAACAAACATCGTCGATTCTCTACTCAATCTGTTGCACTCCTATGGGAGTGTAAAGCCCAGCCTCCGAACCGTTGTTAAATGCACTCAGTCAGGTATAAATTAATTTCAACTGCCTTTCCTTGTATTTTCCAGTTCATTGCGGAGCTGTCAGTGCATCAGCTACTCATATTAACCGCCTATCAATGCTGCACCATAAAATATTTGTCATCATACGACACACGCACACACCTGAAACATACCTGTACACACACACACACATAAGCTCACTCCGTATGCAATTAAACCTGCACGGCTGCCAATCGCTCCTGCATATGCAACGAAAAATGTTTAATTACAATGCAGAAAACAACAACACTGGCAACGGCGACAACAATAACACGAGTGCATGGTCGTACCAGAGGTGTGGTGGGAAGGGGTTGTCGAGTGGGAGGTAGGCCAATGCAAGTGCGACAGGATTGCAGGGGAAAAATATACTTTGTTATTGCTGGTGCGAGTGTAAACCTCAGCCGCCGACACATCAGCAAATGGCGGCGGCTCATTGACATTTCCGCTGATTACTTTATGGTCCCACACTCATACACATACACACACGCGCACACACACATATACACCGACGCCTGTCGCGACATGACATGACGTTTCAGCGCCCAGCTCGCAGCCCCAGCCAACTGTATAGCTGTATATCAAATATCAAATAGACCGCATACAGTTACTCTTTCAATGGAATAGAGAATAGTTAGTAAATAGTATAATTTGTATTGTGATAAGTCTTTAATTAGGAAAATGTAAATAGATTTGATCATTTTGTTTTTATTGATTAATTAAATCAAAGTGTAAAAACTTTTCTTTTTTTTTAAAGAAAATTTTTAAAATTGAGTGAATGACAAATGAACAATAGATTTTATGATTAATCGACAACGATCGAGAAATGTTTTTCTTTTTTTTTTTTTTTTTTTTTTTTTTTTTTTGGGAATTATTAAAACTAAAATTGAAACTTATTTTAAGTTGTGATTTATGAAGCCTAAAGAGTTTTCTTCTCTTGTTTAATGTATTTTATTTTTTAAACTTTTTTAATATCGAGTAAGTTGGTATTTTTTAAGTTTTTTTTTATTAGAACTCATTTTTTAATTTATATTAATTTATTTTTTTTTATGAATTAAATGTAGCTACACCGCTTTTAGTTCTTAATGAAAGTATTTAAGTATTGTTATCCTTAAATTTTTCATGCCATAGAATAGTTCGTCAACAAGTCATTACAAAACGCTTCTCAAAGGAGTAACAGCCTCGCCTAGAGTATAAATTATTTGTGAAATTGCATAAGTAGCTAGGGTATACGGATTTCGATAGAGACACATACACAGACGGATCTCGCTTTGTTGCACATGCCGAAAATCTCAAAATTTAATGACAGTCTAATTATGCGTGCAAATGGTTTATAAATATTTTACAGCCATTCATGACCGTGACTTGGAGCTGAAAGCTGTGGCCACAGCTCCACATGCCCATGCTGCCAACGACCTTATCTCTATCTGCACATGCTCTTTCTTTATTCGGTCTGCACTCTGGCTTATTGACTGTCCGCCATTTGGGCGTGTGAGTGAGTGTGGAATTTGTGTGTTTTGCGCATCGCTGATTGCATTGTGGTTTTACGACTTCATTATTGTTAATTATACGCCGCGTTGCCAGCCAATGGCCCACCCTTGTCAATGACCATATGAAAGCCAACGCTATGTTGCCTATCCGAAGTGTTGAATGCAACAGAAAAAAAAAAAAAAAAACAAAACAACAACCACAATATGACTAATTCATACATAGAAGAACCGCAATAAACAGCACTGTCATATTGCAGTATTTATAGATAATAAGAGATTACCGAAATTATAAATGGAGCAATCAATTGAGATATTGATTGTAAAAAGAATAGAATAAATTAACTTGTTTAAAATTTATATTATTGTTAATATACGAAACTTCCGTTTTTTCTTGTTAAGAGCCTTTATCTTCATAAAATATCCTCTTTAGAATAGAGAGATTTATAGAACGAGTTTTCCATACCTGTTCTATATTTTAGCGAGACTGATGAAATACAAAATTATTCATTAGCCTCTTAGGACACTTTACAGCGCTTATTAATTAACAGAAAAATATCGATTTCTAACGATTTGAATTGAAATACTTTATACAATTATTATACAAAAAAAACTATAAAATGTTAAACAAAAATCTTCGCCCGAATGTCGTTATGAGGATGCTTAAGAATAAGTGATTGATTGATTGATTATTCGAGAATTCGATTTTTATCAACCTGTATATCTTATCTGTCCTACCTAACGATGCCAATAATGTGTTTTTAACAGAATATCTTATATTTTAGAAGTTTGCAGAATCTGAGTACGCTTCAATCTTGATTTTTCTTTTAAATATACAGCTGCATCTCTAAAGTTTTTCTTAAACAGCAGCTTCGGTATATACTAAGATTTGGTAGCTATAAATGTATAATAAAATATTCACAATTTAAGTTGACTGCGGTATCTCAATAACTCCAAACATGTGCAGAGCCGAGCACAGAACAATTCTTCTTTTTGAAACTTCATGTAATAATGCAAAATCTAGAGGAAACCCGAAACATATTTCCTGTCTCTTTCAAGCATCTTCTACATTCTGCTTCTCTTTTCGATCTGCCTCTCTTAAGAATTCTTATCCGCAAACTCATTGAAGAACTTTAGATACAGCATTACTCCTGAAAAAAAAGATCTTAATGTAATCTTCTAAAACTAACCCTAATCTATCCATTTTCTTTTTAGGTTAATATGTTTCGGTAGCCTGACCTTGGAGAACAATTTAGGTCAATCAGGTGTGGTTTTTGGTAAGTGCAAATTGTTAACTGTATTGAGATTAATGTATTAAAATAATCCTTTTTGATGTGCTATATATTTAGATCATCAACAGATCGTACTTACTCGGAAATTTAACAATTAAGTTGAGAACTTGATAATTTCAAAATCGAAAGATAGTTGACGCATCCACATATGCGCTTGCGTTTGCCTGAATGGTACAAAAATGAACAATTTTCAATAATTTAACAATACTTTTATACGGTCCTATATTATTTTGCACAACACTAAAATTCCATTTATAGATTTTTATATATATATATTTATATATATA